TAAATGACATAAGTTATGTCATTTTAGGAGAGAGATAGACACAAGGAATGAAAATCATGGGGAGAAAATGGGTGGTTTTTTTAATTTAAATTTGAAATAAAAAAATTTATTTTGTGTCTATCTCTCAAAATGAAATAACTTTATGTCATTTAAAATGACAAACGCTTTCCCCACACACACACACACATATATATAGGCAAAATCCTTTGATATACCAGTGTCAAATTTGAAATTTGACACCTCATCTGAGAGACATTAGATCAAAAAAGATCAACGACTCTGATTTGTAAGCATGTGACACTATTGATCTTTTTTTATTTTATATATATATATATATATATATATATATATATATATATTGACAGTTTGTAGTGTCAAATGATCCTGCTTCATATATATATATATATATATATATATATATATATATATATATATATATATATATATATATAGGGCTTATCGTTTCTCAAGCTGCTTGAGATAATCTTATCTCCGGTAGTAAATCATAACCGTACAAAGATGGATCAATGGTGATAAAGGAAGAGAGAGAAAAAGAAAATCATAACCATTCAAGGGTGAATCAATTAATATAAGAAAATAAATAAATAAAACGACGTAATTTTAGGATAGCCGGAGATAAACTTATCTCAAGCTGCTTGAGAAATGTTTTTCCCACACACACACACATATATATATATGTATGAGGTAGGATCCTTTGACACCAGTGTCAAATTTTAAATTTGATACCTCATCTGAGAGCCGTTAGATAAAAAAAGATCAATGGTGTCACATGCTTGCAAATCAGAGTTGTTGATCTTTTTTGAACTAACGGCTCTCAGATGAGGTGTTAAATTTGAGATTTGACACTGGTGTCAAAGGATCCTACCTCTCTCTCTCTCTCTCTCTCTCTCTCTATATATATATATATATATATATATATATGGAAAAATATATATCTCCAGTCACCGGAGATAAAGTTATCTCCGGTGAGCTCAAAATGACGTCGTTTTGTGATTATAAGATTAAAAAATTATAATGATAAAGACTATCCATTGACTGGAGAAATCTTTTACCTTATATATATATATATATATATATATATATATATGAGATTTGCATTCATCATTTAACATGACCACAAAAAATTTCCTACAAACACAACATTTTGCGAGACCCGCATGTTTTGAAGAAAAAAAAAAAAACTACGGCACGTAAAACGAATCTCTATAATATAACACAATCATTTTTCCTACAACATAACTCTTATAAAATCATATATATATAAACTTTGAGATTTATATTTCTGCAGCTGCTATATGTGCAACAATCAAATACTTGTTATATATATACTTGAATGTATTAAATGCGCGGAATCATAATCATACAAAGGATGAAAGCATTAAATGTGAGAAATAATAACCATACACTTGTCGTTACTATACGTTAAGCAGCTGCAGAAATGATTTTATCATAAAATTTTCGACAAATGCGATAATTTGCGGTAAATTGACTGAACATTTTAACCTTTTGCATGATTGATTGCAAGAGTGCCTAGTCTCTTTTAGGCATTTCAAATTCATTGTCTATATACACTTAGTCTATGAATTGGGGGCATCCAATTGTAAGTAGTATTCTTTTCTCCATTTACTATTAGGCAATTGAGATAGTGACCCATTTTAAAGACGAATCTCTTCTTTTTTTCATGCATTATTATGGTCATTATGATGAAACTGTGTCTCACCGTCTGTGCTTTCTTTGTAGTGTACTGTGATATGTCGCTGAATAGGTGTGGTGTTTTCGAAAGAACGTGGTTATCAAGCCAAGCTACAATAATAGGCCATCAATTTCTGTTCAGGCATTGTGGGACTACTGAAATTCTGTCAGTCTATTTTCTGAAGTGTCAGACTCTACTTGGCACATGTTGACGTTAATGCCCAACAACACATGCAGATGTACCATTTACCCCACCTTCTATTCTATTGGACACTAGTCCACCCATTTTCCTAACACCTTATTGGAACCATCCAAGCAATCCATAAAAATTACTCTAGTAGAGAAAATATGGAAAATGATCCACCTCACAACCCAATTTAGAATTTTATTTCAACTTTCTTTTTATTTTTATCTAGATTTTCAGTTTGGTTAATCACTTATTGTGTTCATAACATACAGATAATATTCTTTTGATAATAATGCTTTCTAGTTGTACCAAAAAAAAAAAAAAACTGTTATAAACACAATGTTACTTTTATATTAAAATAAAGATAAGAGGGGCATCTGAATGAGTGATTCGGAGAATTCTTGGTTAAGAAAAGAGTGTCTTTTACTCTTTTCCACAAGAATGGATTTTATTCAAAAAAGCATAAAGAGGAGGTGGTGGACTTGAAAAAATAAAATAAAATAATGAAAAAGTAATTGAATATTGAATAGGAAAGGAGAAAAAGGATAGAAAGAGGAGCATATGTGAACATTTCAATCATTCTATCCCAAATGGAGAAGAGAAGTACAACTAAAATTATACTTTCCTTTGCTTTTTTGTTACAGACAAGTCACAAGACAAGATTTTGTGCATTGGGAAAAGATAAAAGATAAAGTTAGGAAAGACTGAAAAAGATGGCTCTACCTGGATCTTTGGCTTATCAATATACATGTGGGTCACTGAACCCATATTAAACAACCAGGGACTTTAATAATAATAGCAATCATAAAAGTTTTGACAGATTAAAGGACAGCCTAGTGGGAACGGTATCGGTATCTGAGGTGATGTTAAATTTCTGGGGACATTTTTTGGTTAACGAGATAAATTATCTTATATAATATTATAAAAAAATCAGAAATTTATTAAAAAGGAAAAATAAAAAATTTTATTTTTATATTGAACGAGATAAATTATCTCATATAACATAAAAATTATATCCCCTAAATATTTCTAGAAAATAAACAACTTGAAAAAAATTTTGAGTGCGATTGTCACTTTGATCAATACTTATTAGAAAATAGTGTATGTGGGATATAATTATTTAAAAAATAATAATTTAAAAAAAATTCAATTAAGTTTTACTTATAAATTTTATTAACATATATTCTTATAATACATGTTAAGAAATAAAAAAATTAAATGTATTAAATATTTTCCCACAAAAAAATGTTTTAAATATTTTTATTTCAAGTTTCTTAAAATATATCATAAAGACATTCATTGAAAAAATATTTAAATATGAGAATATTTTAAAATATAAAATAAATCAATTGAAACTTGCAAAAAGATTTTAAAAAATGGCCAATAAATAATTCCGCACTTTTTTTTAGTACAAATTTGTGCACTCTTTTAATTAACTCAATAATCAATGAAATCCGTATCTAATTAAAAGAGATTGACTTAAATATGCTACTTTTATAATGATTACTGAATTTAATTATGTGGACTATTTCAACTTATTGCTTTAAGTGGACAATTTTTACTACAAATAAAGTAATTCATTAATATATTAAATTTATCAAAATTATATGTGGGCGTAAAAATAATAATAATTAGATGTCAAAATCATTTTTTATTTAAAATTAATAAAAAAGGATGTAAGAGTATTTTTCAACTTGTGAAAATATATGTTAATTTGGAAATTTGCTATTTTTTTTTGTTTTGTAGATTCGATCACTGTCAATCCACCAATATATCTTTCTACAGTTTGTATATTCGATCATCAATACCAAAACACAAAATTAAGGTATAAACATCAAATTAAAATTTAGCTAAATTATTTATGCATGTTTGATTATTCTTTCTAATTCATGCATAACAAATGAATTATTACTTTCTTTTTTATACAATCAGTAGTTACTTTCTTTTATAAATTAGGTATAATATCCAATGTAAAATGTTAGAAAGTATAGGTTATTTTATTTATATCAAATTACCCAAAATTATTCTTACCTAATATCTCGCGATGCTGTATTAAGTTTTTTCAATGGGAGAATAAATTTTTTTATTATATTAACAAAGTGGTGCAAGCAATATACAACTTTTGCAATGGGGTAGGGACAAAGAATTATAGAAAGAGAAAAGGGATGAGGTAAAAATGGTAGAAAAAAAGAGAAGAGATAAAAATGATAGAAAAAAATAGAAGAGATAAGAGAGAGAGAGAGGGGGGGAGGAAGCATCCAATTCCCATAATGGTGCAGGGGCAGTGGTACAAGAAACAATGATGCTGATTTGACAGGGGAAACTTTATCCCTTGCCCATGCTATGATGATGGTTTCAACTTTCAACATAATACTCGTCTCCACTATGCGGCAACCAACAGCGACTTATCTTTCTTTCCTTTTACTCTGTTTGCTTTCACTTTATGAGGATTTTAGGTGTGTCTCAACTTTTAAGACTTTTGCTGCCCCTTCAAGCCAAAATTATGAAGGAAAGAAAAACAAAAAAATTAACCCAAACAAAAGGAAACCACTCATCTCAGCCGTTTCAAGAATTGATGCCCACTTATGACCATATCACACACCACACCACACCACACACTTTCACTCTGTGTACTGTAAAGTGGGTGCCCTTTGCCTTTCTATTCATACCATTACCCACCACCCCACCTCCCATCACTACTTTTTCCCTTCCAACGTTAACCACGATTCCTTCAAGTTTTTCTCTTGCACTTTTTCTTTTTACTAGATTTAATATAATCATATTTCATTGTCATATTTTATCACAAGTTTATAAACTTTTTTCTTTCTTTCTTTTAAACCATCCATTGCATAATACCTAACTTAATATTACTCAGGACATATCACATTTTATTTGCAGTAAAAAATAATTACACACTCTTCTCACAACTGACACAACACCCATTGGCATAATAATGTAGTATACCTTTTTTGCGGTAAATATTGATAGCATAAACGTTGGTGATTGATATGAGAAATCGCGAATTGCATAGTTGACTATAAACCAAATAAAAAAAGTATATCAATAAGATAGCAAAAAAAACAAAATCTGTATAAACAAAAGAATTCTAAATTCTATTTCTTTCTTTTTTTTTTCTTTTTCTAACATTGTCATTTTGACAAAAGAAAAATAAAAATAATCTTCTCTAGTTTGTGAAGGTCTAGACTCTACAATGAAAATGTTTTTTTGTCTTTGTCCTAAGAGAGATTAACATGCACGCTAGCATCCATGCCAGAGTCACATACAGGGCAATTGCGTATAGTGGACCCACACGTTGCGCAAAGACACAGATGCCTGCATGGTAGCAACAGCACTATTGACTCTTTTACCCCACAGTTCTTACACATCCTACTCCCATCACCACCACCACAAACCACCGGCGTCCCCGCCGTGTCCTCTCCGGCCTCCGGAGAACCATTGCTCCCACAACTTGATTCAGCATCATCCGCCACCGCCGGAGCTGCGGCGGCGGCGTGACGGTGGTCGTCGGCGACATGTGCGAGCACTTGTTCCAAATTTGTACGTAGGTAGTTGGCTGTTGTTTCGTTTGTGTGTGCTAGCTCCTTCCAAATTTGATTCTCCACACACAAGCTTTTGACCCTTTCTTGGAGCACAAAATTGAGCTTTCCCATTCTCTGAATCTCCTCGTCTTTTTCCTTCAGCTTCTTCGCCATTGCCTCTTGTATCGCACACATCAGCATCCTTGATTGCCTCATTTTCTGTTCCTCCATTTCCATTCTCACTTTCTCTGTCTGTTCAATTACAAACAACAAAACAAATTAATTACACACAAAATAATAATAAAACACCCCATAATTTTTTTTAGATAAAGTTTGAAAATTTATCACTCCATTTCATCAGTTACTCACTCTTATGCTTAAACCGCTGAACAGTTTTTCCTTTTTTCTATCACAAGTTTAAATTAAAAAAAAAATAAAAAAGAAGAAGCATAAATTGAAGTGAAGGATTGGAAAATTACATGATGGGCAAGGACACGATCGATCTCAGATTGCTGATTCTGGAATTGGTAGAGAAATTCTTGGTCGAGAAATGAAGATTCAGGGGTGAGCTTGTTCTTCTGATGAGGTGGGAGAGAGGTTAATTCGGTGGTGGTGAAATCTCTGGACCGTTTTCTTTGTAGAGGAATATGGTATGTGAGACCACTATCGGACTTATTTGGATCACAAACAGTGGATTGGTAAAAGGGTAAAAATGATTCAGGCATTGTTGTAGGAAGAGGCAGAGCTGAATCCATCTGGGTGTTGTTGTATATATCAGAGTTTAAGAGATGATGTTGTTGTTGATTATTGGGTTTGATGATTTCTCTGCAGAAACAAAGACAGAGCACCACATCAGCAAACATTGAAAAATTAAACCTTAAAGACAACAAACAGCATAAAAGAGAGTTTTTTTTTAGGTAGAGTACCTATTCGTGAGTAGCTGAGAAGGCAAGAGATTCATGTAAGTAGCTTCAACTGCCATGGTAGTAGTAGTTGTTTAGGATGAAACTTTTTATGCGATAATGTTGTTGAGGTTAATTGCAGAAGGAGAGAATAAGAAGGAGATGAGGGAGAGCATGCAATAGATGTGGCAGAGAGTATGAGGGGAGAGAGGAGGGGCTAAATGAATGAATGGATGGATGGATTCAAGTTTATTTAGGCTTTGGTTTTTGTGGGGGCGTTTTTAAGAAATGGAAAGTCAAACGCATCTTTCCTAGACACAGAAAATCTCAGAACAGTTTTATGGGAGAATAAAATTCATAAATCAAATTCAATCAATTACATTAAATTCAAGCCACTTTTTATTTCTAGAAAATCAAAAAGTAAAACATGAGTTGTCAGATCTTGGTCTTTCAGATTCTCTTTTAACGTTTTTTCTATCTTCACTCGTTTTGGAATTTGCATTTCTAACTTTACCCTTTTATTTGTTCTATTACCAAGCAAGCATAGTAAATATAGACAGTAATAATAATAATAATAGCATTATATAATAATTTTCGCGTGTACCCTACCACACTATACATGAAAATTACCACATAATAATTTTCGCATGTACCCTACTACCCTATACAAGAAAACTATCATTTATTTACTTGCCATTTTTCTTTGACAGCTTCCTCATGCCAATATCATGTAATTTGCATTAGGAGTCATTTTGGAAGCACGAGTTCATCATTCAAGATCTGTACGTTTTAATCATGCCTACCCAACAAGATTCATGCAATATCTTAATGATATATGTGCATAATTTTTATTTTCACCAAATCCTTAACGTTTTCATTTAAAGTATTAGATAACACATTTGTTTTATTACAACTCTCTCTCTCTCTAAATATTCTGATTAAATACACCTTGCAATTTATAACAAATTTTTGTATGGGTGATATATATATACAAAAAAATATTTCTCTAGTTAATGCAGATAAGTTATCTGCATTTACTTTTAAAACGACATCGTTTTAGAATTGAAAAATTAGAAAATTATAATTATAAAAACTATAATAACCCTTAAATAAATTAAAATTATAAAAATACCATGATTTTCGCTCTAAACCGACGTCATATTGAACTTACGGCAAATAACTTATCTACAGTAACAACAGAAAAAATGAATCCATATATATATATATATATATATATATATATATGGATTCGTTTTTTCCATATATATATATATATATATATATATATATATATATATGAAAATATCATTACTTTCCATTCAAATTATTTCAAATCTTGTGTAACTCTAAAACTAAAACAAACAGGCTTTAAATATGAATTTTTTTTTTTAAATTTTGTGATTGGAAAATTATTGCAGGTGTTGCTATTAATAACTATTTAACACTCGCGTTACGGAAGCCCTCTTATTAATTACTTTTATTAAAATTTAAATTTAAGTCAGTTTCAAACTTATTCTCATAATATTAGATTCTAATAATGTAAACATTAAATATTTAATACTGTTTTTTCAAATATTGCACATAAATACAAAAACAAAAAATAACATCACGTAATAAATTACGGGTTTTCCTAATCAAAAAAGTAGCCCTTTATTCACTATATATATCATGGCATTCTAATGCGACGTTATATATATATGAAATAAACATTTCTACAGCCACTTTAGATAAGTTTATCTACAGCTACCGTTTATAACTATGTTCTCCCGAGAGAATATAATTATAACATTAAAGTTATTTTTTTCTCTCTCTCCACGTCAGCAGACAGGTTCTGAAAAGTAAATGAGGAGAGAGAAAAAAAGTAACTTTTAATGTTATAACTATGATCTCCCGGAAGAACATAGTTATAAACGTTACGTGTAGATAAACTTATCTAAAGTGGCTGTAGAAATATTTTTACATATATATATATATATATATATGAGGTAGGATCCTTTGACACCGGTGTCAAATTTGACACCTCATCTATGAGCCGTTAGATCAAAAAAGATCAACGACTCTGATTTGTAAGCATGTAACACCATTGATCTTTTTTGATTGAACGACTCTCAGGTGTCAAATTTCAAATTTGACACCGGTGTCTAAGGATCCTACCTCTATATATATATATATATATATTAGAATGATACATTTGTATAAATTTTATACTCGAAACTCCTAAATCTCTTATTTTAATTTATGTATAATATATATATATATATAACATTTTGAAATAATTTAAAAAAGCATAATTAATGTTTACGAAGGATTTGTGAAGATGAAATATATATATATATATATATATATATATATATATATATATATATATATTATTTCTTACAATTCAAATTTTAAAAAGAACCAAATATTTATGACGTGTTTATCTATAGACGAACGTAAATCAGCGGTTACACTTGCATGATATATAAAATCAATTGCGAGCAAACGCAGGCTTGCATTAATCTACAAGTAAAACAAATAAACTTTCACTTGTGTATAAAAAAACTTTTAATTCGTTTCAAGTTAAACTAATTTAATTTTTTTGGTAAAATAAGTTAAACTAATTTAAACATATAAAAAGAGTAAAAAAAAAAATTTTAAATCGCCTTCAATAGTTCTTAAAAACTTATCAATTTAATCCTTACGTTAAATGTTCAAATTTCAATAGTTTAACCCCTTGATTTATTTCAATTTATATAGGGCTTATCATTTCTCAAGTCTAATAAAAGAAGATAAATGGTGAGAGAAAAAAAGGAAATCATAACCATTCAAAGGTGAATCAATTAATATAAGAAAATAAATAAACAAAACGACGCAGTTTTGGAGTGGCCGGAGATAAATTTATCTCAAGCAGCTTGAGAAATATTTTTCCCATATATATATATATATAACATCATTAATTGTGTGCTAAATAAGAGTATAATAATCGAATATTAAATACTTTTTTCAAACAGTTTAATACAAATTTCTAATATGCAAATATATAAATATCATTCCGATCTATGCAAATTATTTCCAATCAATTGGACCAAAAATAATAATAATTAAATAATCCCATATTTATGGTTAGTTTGAATTGATATCCTTATGTAATAAAATTGAGTATAAATAATTTCATGTGTTATTTAATATATGATCATAATTATTAGTGAGCAAATCAAGATGATGATTTTATCGCTTTCAATCCTAATATTTTTTCTCTTTCATTTTTAATTACCATTGATATATCCATAATGGGGAAGGTTATACTTACAACCTATTTTCGTTTACAACTTCTTACAACCATATCTTAACCGTTGAATTCCGTCAATCAACGGTTAAGATTTTCGCAAATCAAATTTATTAATTAATTATTAATTCACAATAAATGACAACCGTTGATTGACGGAAATCAACGGTTAAGATGTGGTTGTAAGAGTTTGTAAACTATTTGGGTTGTAAATATAACCCCTCCCATCCATAAATGATTATAATCATTTCACATGATATGACCAAATTAAATAAATATGAAATAATTCACTCCCAATAACTAAAAAAAATAGGCTATAAATATATTTCAACTAAAAGGCTAAGACCAATTCAATTTAAACGTGATACATAAGGAAATGAATGAATCATATGAGATTTTTATTAATTTAGTTCTTTAATGATTGATTTTATAAATTTAATTCTTTACATAATTTTTTTATTCGCTCAAGTCTAATACCGCTAATATAATAATATTTACGTAATATGACAACAGTGAAATACTGAATATTATTATTCAAATATTACATGAAGAATTCAAATTTTAAAATATCATGATTCTATATATATTTCAAAACATAAATATGGATACGTATTTGCAGTTACAATGTACCTGCGCGTAACTATGGGAATGATATAATTGTTTTTTGTTTTTTCAAATCATAAATATATGCTCGGATACTTTCGCACCTTATTATCCATAACCTACATATTAATATAGTTAATTAAAAAAACATTTGCATTATTACCTAATTATGTAAAAGACTTATAATCTATTATTAAAAAAATTCAAACCCTTTTTAACAATAACGTAATATATATTTTGATTTTCATAAAAAAATTCTACATCAAACATTATCAAAATTAAATCGTATCATAAATTACAAGCAAATGAATATATTACCTTATTCATGTTTATTCATTGAATAAGGCGGGGATTTTTTGCTGAGTAGCCATATATATGTGGCACTGTTTGATAGATGCCACGTAGTTAGACCATGCTAAGCTGTTAATTAAATAAGTAAGGAGCTCTGTTTATTTATTATAAAAGCTACTTTTAAAAACAAAAGCATACAGATATATGAGCAATAATAAAATAATCACAAAAATACACACACCCATCATTTTTACAATGCTAGCATGTCAAAATTTTATTTTATTTTTTTGGTAAAAATTAACATTTTTCTTATGAAAAACTCAGTATTATAAGTAAAAAAATGAGAAAACGGAAACGTGATGGATGCTTCGTGATCGTGAAGATGGTGTGGGGTAGGGGATAAATTAAAAGGAAAGCAACGCTGCACGTGCTCGGTGCGTGATATGGGTCTCACCATCTCAGACAATAAACTGAGCCCCGAGGCGGGACCCACGAAAAGGGCTTGGGACTGGAAATTTTTTGAAATACTTTAATTTTAAAATAACATGTATTACCTATTATAATTTTTATTACATGAAAATTATTTTAAAAAATAATAAATTTCATATATATATATATATATAATAAATAGGGCGTACAAATACTATGACATATTTATGTAAAAAGTGTCATGTTGTTGAGTGATATAATAACGTGTGGCTTGAAAAGGAAAATTAAACGTGATAAAAGAAATGGAAAATATATTAATATCAAAAAAAATGAATTTCGTTAAATACAATTATATTTATTAAATTGATAATATTTAGTATGGATTAAATAGAGCGTAAATAGTTTACACGTGGCAAAAGAGAGGTCAAAAGTGAGTGCTGGGGTGTGGGAAGATGCAGCGCATGTGCGAACGGTCAACAATGAATAGTGAATGCTGAATGCTAGGAATGGAACAGTTTCTGACTTTCTCTCCTCTTCCTTCATCAAATGTCTAGTCAATGTTTCATGCTCAATGGACAACTTCAATTATTTTTTTATTTAAAAAAAATGAGTA